ATCACCTCACACACCATGAAAAAGATGAGTCATGTGGACAGGGGCAAGAACTAGGACCTGGGTGTTTGCACCTGTGACAGAGAAAATACACAGGAGACAGCATCCACTTTCTTTCAGTTCCCTGAGTTGTTAGATCAGCCCCTCCAATGCAAATGGAACTTATGCTTGCAGGTTTTATTGTTCAAAACTAAGGAGCAAGGCTGAAAATACATCTATTACTCCCAGTCATTCATCAAGTAATGTATTCTAGGCACATATAATTAAGGCATAATTCTCCACGATGACAAAATATACATGCCTAGACCGAGAAAGATGGCTAAAAATATTCTAACACCTTCTCTTGGAGCATTTCACCATTTTCTTCTCACGCTACTGGCAAATATTAGTTGTTGAAACCTCATTAATGTCTAAGGGAGTAGGGCTCACATGACTGAAATTCAAAGGGCTACTGTTAATTCTCTATCAAAAAGCAATCTCTGGGAAGGATATTTTTACCAGTCTCTCAGCATGAATCTAAAGATGCTTAGCTGTGGTTTGTTTATCTTCTATGGACAGAAAAGGCACAGATTCTTAAACAAAACTACCTCTGTGTGTGTGTGTGTGTGTGTGTGTGTGTGTGTGTGTGTGTGTGTGTGTGTGTGTGTGTGTGCGTGTGTGAAGTCAATCACATCCCATGGAGGTCTGGTGAATGTAATCTCAGAGTTATAAAACTAGTGTGTGGGGGTGTGTGACCATGACTATGACTCTGACAACGTGTCACTATCTTCTCTCTTCTCTCTCCACAGTTGTGTCTGTTTGTCTATCTCTGTCTCTCTTTCTCTTCTTTTCTCTCTCTGTCCGTCTCCTTCTCTCTCCTGTTCTGTCTCTCTTCTTCTTTTTCTCCTGTCTCACTCTATAATCCAAGGTCCTACTATTTATTCAGCTAAGAAACCACAGGAAACGGTTGAGTCTTAAAACTGGCAATATCTACAGTTGACTTTAATCTATTAGTCACTGGTTGACTGGAAGGAACAGAAGAGAAATCTGAGTGGGGGAGTGGAGTGGAGGATGCTCACAGGGATGGACTATCAGAGAGAAAGACAGCTAGGCTCCACACTCCAGCATCCTTGCATGGGTCCCAATAGGATCATTGTACAGAGCCTACAACCCTGCTTGACCCTGCTCTTCCAGCCCACCAGAACAGTGTTCTCATCCCAAGTACCTTACTAAACCCAGCTGTAGAACATAGCTGTCCCTACACCTGGCTAGAAGCCCTGAGCCTTCTGAGAATGCCAAAAGCAACTGTTTTCTCTGAGAAGCATCTTTAATACAAATTTGAGAACATCACAAGGAAGCCAGCCAAATATCTAAACAGCTAACAAATATCTATCTCACATAGATGATAGTAATCACCAAGTGCACATCAACTAGCTTTGGAACAAAGGCGATAATAAGAATTTGCATTTCATTTACCATGTGATAAGCATCATTTTGACTTTTGACATATGTTAATTGTTTTTAATCTGCAGGAAAACTCTGTGGGATACAAATAATCTTTCCCTTCTACAGACAAGAAAACTGAGGTGCAAGACAGCGACTAAGTACCTTCTCTCTCCTAAGAATATAGTACAAGTAGCGACTATGTTTGTCTCAATTACTGTGTCCTCACCTACTGTGCCCAGCAGTGCCTGGCACTTTGCAGGTGCCATTTAAATATTTTCTTAAATCGATTTTTTTTTTTTGTTGGTCATGGGGCCTGAACTCAGGGCTTGGGCGCTGTCCCTCAGCTCTTCAGCTCAAGGCTAGCACTCTACTACTTGAGCCACAGCACCACTTCTGGTTTTTTCTGTTTATGTGCTGCTGAGGAATTGAACTCAGGGCCTCATGCATGCAAGGCAAGCGCTCTACCACTGAGCCACTTTCCTAGCCCCTGAAATATTTTAAAATTGATTATATCAATGGCTTTATTTTTTTTAACAGAACCATCATTCATCTTATTCCTTGCCTCTAAATTGACAAGATTCTTCAAACACTACATGTAGTGGTTCAGCTAATTCCACATTAGGGGACCTGAGGATTAAAAGGTTACTGTTATAGAATTCCAAGTAGGGAAGAGACCTCTGGTCTTAGACCTAAAAACCTAAAGGTTTCCTTGGTCCCAATGTGAAGATCATCTTAAGATCCTTATACACCCTTTGTATTCTTGCCCTCTAACATGTTTCTCAAACAACTTACTTAAAAGTGGATCTGACCTGTGCTTTTACCTGATTGAGCATATGAGGATTTTAAAGCATTTTGGATTGGGATTTTTCAAATTGGAGATGATAACTGGTAAAGTCTATATAAATATTCTAACACCCAATAACTGCAAAGGCTGGGGCTTTTTGGACACAAGAATTTCACATAAAGAATATTCACACTGGGGGCTGGGAAGGTGGCTCAGTGGTAGAGCACTTGCCTTGCATGCCTGAGGCCCTGGATTTGATTCCTCAGCACCACATAAGCAAAAAGAAAAAAGCCGGAAGTGGCGCTGTGCCTCAAGTGGTAGAGCGCTAGCCTTGAGCTGAAGAGCTGAGGGACAGCGCCCAGGCCCAGAGTTCAGGCCCCACTACCGGACCCCCCCCCCCAAAAAAAAAGAATATTCACACTGGGGCTGGGAAGTTGGCTTAGTGGTAGAGTGCTTGCCTTGCATGCATGAGGTCCTGGGGTCAATTCCTCAGCAAAACATAAGCAGAAAAAGCTGGAAGTAGTTCTTTGGCTCAAGTGGTAAAGTGCTAGCCTTGAGCTAAAGAGCTGAGGGACAGCGCCCAGGCCCAGAGTTCAGGCCCCATGACCAACAACAACAACAAATAGAATATTCACACTGTAGCACAGTCATGCTCCTCACAAAGGAACAATCACTGCCACAGCTCCATTCTTGATGTGTAGTTCCCAGAAGAATGCTGGGACCTATGTGGGCTTGAGAGGGACAGTCTAACATCAGCCCTCTCTGCAGTGGGCAAGGACACTAAGGGTGCTGATCATCCAGACACCCATCCCTAAGCACAGCATCAACCACATCACTGATGGTACTAGGTTCTTTCTGGTGGCCGGTTCTTACTACTAGTGACAGCAGGAGAAAAGGGAGAACACGGTACAGTAGCCCAAAGTGGCAATTGGGAGGATTGATCCTCCTAGTCCACAGAATAGTACTAGTTAGGTCCTTAGTCGAAAAGCGATAATTCTCACCAGTTTTTGAAGGCTTTCCTTTTGTAATACACAGTTGTCATTGTAAAAGACACTCCAAATATGAACGAACATGATTCATTTACAAAAGCAAGAAAGAAAAAAAATCAGTCTTACAAACCAGCATAGTAGCCAGAACAACCTACTGAGAAAGGACAAAAGCTTGGCTTTTACATGTTGAAATAAACACACTTGTTGGCAAAGAGTGCCTCTCTTACTTTTTTGTGTGTGTGGGGAAAAGTTACAGAGATTTTGTAAGACACCAAAATACAACACAATAACAAAAGAAACCTCTATATACTGTACCTTCTTTCAGTAGAGCATGGGCTGCCTGAGAGCCTCTGGATCATTCTGTATGGGGGAGGGGGAGGTTGACTTTGACTCTGTGACAATTTCACTATGCTCTCTCTTTCTCCACAGTTGTGTCTGACTGTCTCTGTCTGAGTCTCTCTTTCTCTTTTCTCTCTCCTATCTGTCTGTCTCCTTCTCTCCTGTTCTGTCTCTCTTCTTTTTCTCTTGTCTCTCCTTATATGTCTGTCTCTCTACAAGTCTTCATTGCTCTTCTCTCTCCTCTCTGTCTTTCTCTTGCCCATTCTCATTCTCTCTTTCTTGTTCAATGCAGTCACTTAAAAGCTGATTTTTTCATAGGACTTTGCAGCAAATTTAACTTTAAATGAGCAATTTTTGCTAAGTTTTCCTAAATACATCCACTCAGATCCATACTTTAAAGCTACAATTCATTTGAATAATGGAAATGTATAGCAAGAATGGTGTGCAGTCCTCTTGGCATATGACTGCAACCAAGTATGAGTCATGAGTCATGAAGAATCAACCATACATGTGGTTTCAAATCTTAGTTGATACCGGCTAATAGATCTAATAGAATCTAATCACCCAAAATATTGTGTGAACCTCATTCCTGATGCTCTGCTGATACCAATAAAATTAGTACTCATAGAACAAGAAAATATAAACAGAAAATAATTTCTGCATCAAATTCCACTGATAGAAAATAAAACACAAAATAGTATCAATGGCAAACTTTTAAGAAATACATCTTGAGTCTGAAGAGTTAATAAGCCAAATACTCTATTTAATAATGTCTAAATGTGAACAAAAGGAAGAAATAGGTTGGCATGAATACACGGCCCGCCTCCGAGACGTGGGCAGGACCCATCCCCAGGGAGGCAGGAACACCTTCACCACTGATAAATTTTGTGTCCTTACCTTTAATAATTCTACAGTATTCTTTTTCATCTTTGCAAGAAAAGCTATTGTTACAGTAGTCTGGTATATCAGACTCTTTTCCCACATTAAGTAAGAGAGGTGATCATGCAGTGATGGGCAGAAAGGAGATGAAGACGTTCTTTCATTTGGAAATGTCACAATGATCTAGAAAAGGGAGTTGTGGGATTCTGGCAACATCCAATTTGTATTCATATAGTCACTGAAGTAAAATCAACATTTTAATAGTTTGCAATCCCTTGGCTTGCAAACACTTTTTAACAGTTTGCAATCCCAGTGAAATGGCAACAAAGAAAGAAATACTTTAATTAAGCTTTAAAATTTTTAAACCTTAAAAATTAAGAATGCCCAAAATAGATAACACACAACAATAATGTAGACTCAACTTTCTTAAACTGTGGCCACCTGCTAGCTTAGTTGAGAATAGCAAATACAAAGGCTCCTTTAACAATAAGAGGAAACATATTTTCATGGCCCAGGCAAAGCTTTCCAGGCAGAGACCTTTCCCCAAAACTGTCAAATCCTAAGCTAATACTGAATGGAAGCCTCACCTGGGACATCAGGAGAGAATCTGGCAGAGTGTCGAGATACAAAAAGTTTGAGCTCTTGGTCCAGGTTGCATTCAATCAAGTTTGTGTCCCATGATCGGATTCCTAGGGAAGAAAAGGAAGACAGTTGACAGACATTCAGTCAGTCATTTCCAAGTGGTTTGGAAAAGGTCCCTGAAAGCATTTCTCAGGCTTTACAGGAGGATGTGGGAAATCCTTCTCTGCAGAGCTTGGTAAATCGCAGTGGCTCCCCACAAAATGAGCAGTCTGGGGAGGTCTCTTCATCAGGCCACAAGGGAGGGACAGACGAGCAGTGAGGACAGAACTTATAAAAGTGTAACTGCAGCACTGCTGTTAGAGTGAAGGAAAACAGCTATTAGGAAAATGACAGACTATCTCCTCTAGGAGAGAATAGAATGAATGGGAAAATGGCTAGCTCTTTAACCACTAAGCAGCCATCAGACTATCACCAGCTTTCTTGAAATCCACTAGTAGGTGGCAGGGTGATGTAGAAAGCAGGTGGAGATGCCTTGTGGAGACTGCCACTCAAGCCCAGGCCTCTGTTTGTGGCATGATCTTGTAGTGTACAAGTGGGATTTCTTTTCTAACTCATCTGTTTTTTGGTCTTGGATGTCAGTATAGAATTGGTGTGATCTTTCATAAGTAGGCTGGATCTCAAGATTGGATGCCCAAAGTATCCAGTTAGACACTGTTTTTAGATGACCAGCTTGGCAGGAAATACTTTCATTCATAATTGTTTGTGGTACTGAATTTTCTTTTCTTTTCTTTTCTTTTTTTTGTCAGTTGTGGGGCTTGAATTCTGGGCCTGGGCGCTGTCCTTGCGCTCTTCAGCTCAAGGGGAGCGCTCTACCGCTTAAGCCACAGCGCCACTTCCGGTTTTCTAGTGGTTTACTGGAGATAAGAGTCTCACGGACTTTCCTGCCCGGGCTGGCTTTGAACCTTGATGCTCAGATCTCAGCCTCCTGAGTAGCTAGGATTATAGGTGTGAGCCACTGGCGCCCAGCGGTACTGAATTTCCTTATCATGAAAGAAAGAAATGTGGCAAACTTTTTCTTCTTTTTATTCCTCTATGTGTGTGTGCACACACCCAAATGCATGTGTCAATCCTAGGGCTTGAACTCAGGACCTGGTCGATGTCCTTTACCTTTTTTGCTCAAGGCTAACACTCTACCTTTTGAGCCACAACTTTATTTTGAGCATTTTTCTTCTTTCCTTTTTTTTCTCCCTCCTTCCCTCCCTCCCTCCCTCCCTCCCTCTTCCTTCCTTCCTTCCTTCCCTTCTTTCTTTCTTTCTTTCTTTCTCTCATGTGGGGTTAAGTGGAAATAAGAGTCTCACTAACTATCCTGCCCAGGGTGGCTTTGAATCACAGTCCTTAGATCTCAGCCTCAATTAGCTAGGATTACAGGCATAAGCCACTAGCACTTGGCTAACTTTTTATACTTTATAAAACTTGGATGGAATTGGGAGCCATGAACTTGTTTTCAGATCAGACGTCCTTTCACTAGACTGAAAGGAGTACAGAGGTGAAAGGAATGAGAGAGGTTTCCTGTGCCTAAGCCCTGTTCCCCAGCCTCTTCCTTCCTCCTCCTTCCGCCTCCTCATCCCAAAAGCAATGGCTCAGAGGGAAACCCCAAGAGCATACATGAAAGAGGAAAAGCAAGCCAGGGAAGGCTGAGGAACCTCAGAACTCTGGAGAGTATGTAATTCATATGTACTCATAGTTTCTCCCAAAAATATGGCTATATTGGTAGTATGCATGAATACTTGTACAAAGCATCCTCAATTGCCAGGACAAGTCTCCAAAATAACAAACATTTACTGTCTACCTCCTCATGGCAGGGGGCTGAACCTCAGGGTATAACACTGTAGTGAATTCACCCTAAACAATTAGCCATTTAATTCTTTTTGTTTGTCATTAGTCTGCAATCAGATTTGGGGGAGGTTAAATGACAATGTACTAAACATACCTCTAGGTTAATGAGTATCTGTATTTACCCCCTTTTAAGATTTATTCAACCTTCTTATCTTCCAAAGATGACATATATCATTATATTATATACTATGTATATATTATATTATGCATATATATTATCATGTTATATTATAATACAGTATTATATATTATATATAAAAATGTAATGTTATAATATATAATTATATATTAATATTTATGTGTGGGCATATAGATAGATAGGTAGTTAGATCAAACACAGAGAGAGAAAGAGAGAGAGAGAAAGAGAGGAGAATAAAGATTCTGGCAACTCATTCCACTTCTCACCTAAAATATCCTCAGATCATATACCAAAGGCCTTTTCAACCATAAGGAATATTTTCAAAGAGATATATACTCACTAAATAGAAACAGCAATTTCTCAAAGGAACAATAGGAAGAATTCAGGTATGGAAGAGTTAACATTTCTAAGAAGAGGCTAAATTATAAGGGAGAAAATTTTATGGGTCTCCCTGGAAACATAAATGGCTTCAGTTTGTATTTGTGCTAATGGAGTATTTAAATTTTAACAAGAAAGGCATGTTGAGATCTTGTGGATCTTTTAGTGCAGGAATGATAAATGGGTTCTTTTTGTTTCCTGGAGAGCTTGACAGGTCTGAATTCATTAGAATATTTCACTTCAACATATATACTATATAGTAGCCTGGTGTGAAGAATCATTGAGTTCCTGTCTGAGCAGCCTAATTGGTATTGTCGGCTGAATTCTCTGTGCTCCAGGCTGTGTGCTCTACTTTGTCTTCTGGCTTGCCAAGCTAGGTCAATAAGTTAATAATGAGACATACGTATTTAAATGAAATTCATAAAATGTTTCCATCTTTGTTTTAAGTCATGTCTGAATTGCTACATTATTTGAAGGGCTTCAGCTGGGGTCACACATATACTTGCTATTACATGATTGTCTGTCATTTCCCCCACTGGCTTCAATTAACTAGTCATGAGACAGGCAATTAAATGTTTGCTTTAGACAAATAGACAATAGATAGATAGACAAATATAGATATAAATTTATGTATTTATAAAATACATAAATGCTAATTATGGGGAAATGCTAATTATTAAGAAATCTACTTTATAATTTTAAATTAAGTAAGTAGTAAACAGCTGATAAAATAATCTCTCATTTTTAGACTCTCAATGAAACTAACAATTCAAGATTCTCTTTCTCAGAGAGCAATTTCCAATCAAATGATTTCTTAGCAATGCACAATCACTAGTACCATTTATAAAATGAAGATTACAATGTGTTTACTAGCTATTTTAATTGGAAAGAAAAATTTAGTTAACTAGGCCACTTTCAATACTAATTTTAGAAATAAAATTCCTAGTAATTACTTGGTGCCGTCAGCTAGATATAGAGACTATTTTTCGAGAACAGTTTATTTACATTTAGTAAGCTTCTGTATTTCCCCTTTGTTCCTAAGACGAAGCCAACATCGAGCCTTTTAAAGCTTCTAAAGCTCATAAGGAAATAATCCCACTCTGTGGTGGGAGCAGAGGAGCAAAGGCAAACTCTGCCCCCTTCATTGAGTATCTTCCCAGTGTAGGGAAAGGGGGACAAGCTCTTCCCTAAGGCTTAGCATCCCCTGCAACCTACGATGGTGCCCTTATTGATTTAGACAGAGGGTAACAACTCCAGCACTGAGAGGCGATGAACTTCCACTTTTTAAGTATCTAGGTCCAAAGGGCACCCCTGAGAATATTCCAGGTTGCTCTATAGGGATGGCTCAGCTCTCAGAAGTATGTGCTATCATTGGGTCTATCCTGGGTGGCCAGTGGGTAACAAAGGAGCTTTGCTTCTCAGTTCTCTGATCCCAGGTGGTAGCAGTACACAAAGAAGAGGCAAAGGTGCACGTGGCATTTAGAGAGGGAAAGGGAAGAAAAGGTGTAGTGAAAGCACTGCACAGAACAAGCCAGGGTGAAAAAGGAAAAGGAGCCTGGTATCTTTGGGGCCAAGTTTCCTTTGATCATCAGTGCTTTATAGGATTGTTGGATAAAACCAACAATTAAAATGAAGTACCTCTTCTTTAACGACCAAAAAAAACAAAAAACAAAACTATATCCTAAAAGAAACAGATTGAAAAAAAGTAGAATAAAATGATCCTGAATTATACATTGATGGCCTTTGTGTTTTATTGGGCCTTTGGTGAGGTGATTTTCTTCTATGGGCTTTCAGATGTTCTCTTTGAGAAAGCGTTTGAGTATTTTTTTTGTAAATATCTAAATGATAAATATCAAATTATATGATTCTCTTTGTAAAACCCTGCTAAAAAAAAAGGTGTCCTGAAACTGGAACAGAATCACAAAAATAAAGAAGGAAATGGTAACATAAGGAGGCACTACTTTTCCAAGAAAATATTTCCTACCTTTCCCCCTAGACCTAACCTTCAATTTCTTTTTTTCCCCTTTTCTTTTCTCAAAGCCAGCAACTTGATGTTCATAACACATGTATAATATGTAATGTAGAGTGAACACATGGCTTCAAGACACTGATGATACACAATTTAGACCTTAGATAACACCTTCCAATAAAAGCAAACAAAATGTGATGTCTAATAATTTATTGGTTGGTATAAAAGTTAGAGTTATTTTTTAAAGTAAGCCCTTAGAGAAGATTAACAGTGAATCATCAATTTAATGACCTTAAGTTTGGGGACTGGCTTGTATTTCCACTTAGGCCACAGCCCTTAATAGACAGCAATTAAGCAATGTCAGCAAAAATTCGTCTGCCTTTGACTTTGCAAAGTATGAAGATAATATGATAAATTTAACACCTACCATTTCACTTAAGTCCTATCACATATGGCTGACTTTTTTTTCTTGTTAGAAGAAAATATAAATTAACTCTCAAATCTTTCCTGGGTTAATTAACTTACCATTTTAGGCAGAAAACATTCCATAAAGCAACATGTTACAGTGTAATCAGCTGGACTCACATCTAAAAATCCAGGGCAGTAAATGTTACTCACATCTTTCTTCTCATGGAAAATCTAGTTGATTCTCAATGTTAACTGGAGGAATAGTTACACTTTAACAGTATTGAGACCATCATACTGACACTTAGTGTTCCT